CAGGGCTGGGGACTTGCTCCAAGCTGAGCTGAGCCCTTCACCCCAGGTCTGGAGCTGGGGCACAAAGAATGCAGATACTAGGCCCGGCAGAGCCAAGGCAGGGTAGGCCTAGCTGCAGAGCAAAGCTATGGAAGAACAGAGAGGCCACGAGGGGCGGTCAAAGCCAGTCTGCAGGGGGAGAGAGAAAATGGAAAGGACACTCAGAGAGAACCAGAAATGAGAGAGAGAGAGAGCAGTTGCCGCCAGGTCCCGTCACTCCAGGACACAGTATTTTCTGTCTCCCCCAACTCGCATAACCTCCTACTTTTTTTTTTAAGTCCCTTTGAGTGGGTATTTGTTCCCTGCCACCAACTGACTCTGAATAGAAAACCTTGTAAGGTTGCTATGAGTTGGAATCAACTTAACAGCAATGGGTTTTTTTTTTTTTTTTTTTTAGAAAATCTTTAAAAAAGTTAGAAAACAGGTTCTTCCCTATACAGGTGCTTTCAACGCACTTATGAGAGACACCTATGCAAGAGACAACTGTACGACAATCACACACTGATCTGTTGTCACCTGGGATCTGCCCCCAGGAGCCAGGGATGCTGGTGGTGACACCTGTTGTTTGTGAGCTGTGCCACGTGGTTCCCTCTCGCCTAGAGTCGTGTGGTTTATTATTATTACTATAACCACAACAATGGACTCAAGCATACCAACAATTAGGAAGATGGCACAAGACCAGGCAACGTTTTGTTCTGTTACACGTAAGGTCTCCATGAATCAGAACCGATGGCAACTAACCACAATTAGTATTTGTCCTCACAACTTCATGACATAGGCATTATTCTCCCCTTTGATGAGTACAGAAATAGAGGCTTAGAGAGGTTGAGGGCCTTGTTTGAAGTCACAAGTGACTCAAGAGCAAAGCCAGGATCCCAGTTTTCGTGCCCCTTCTGCTAAGCCACCGCACTCACACCTCCTGCACCTGAGCTTCACCCGCCGGGCCCAATAGAGCCCAGCCCTCCAGTTCTGTAGATCACAATACTTAGCTTTGACCTTTCAAAGTTTATCTCCAAAGCAAAGCACAAACCGCCAAAGTGAAGTACCCTTGCAGGAGGTACCCAGGAAAATGTCACAGCCCTGCTTGTCTCAGGTATAGGGCATGCAGCTCCAGCCTGGCAATAGGCCCTCTGCCCTGTGAATTCAGTGCCCACAGCCTTGCCTGTGTCAGAGCTGGGGGCGCACACCGAGGGACCCACAAGCAGGCTAACATCTAAATGACAGCGAAGTATTATATTAAGCCTCTGGAATCTGAGTTACAAAGGACAGTGTTATGATGCCCTTTAGTTACAAAGGAAGCAATTAGTAATCAAGGTAATCGCTCTGGCAGGAAAATGATGCTCCACTATCTTAATGGTAAGAATTTATCACATGCAGACAATGACTTTTTTTTTAAAGCTCTGACCTACTAATTCTCTTACAAAGACCACCCCCCCCCTTGCCTATTTTTCTACTGAAATTGGGGACCACTTCTGGGCCGGCTCTTGGGCTGGGCTGTCAGGCATAAGGGCCTGGCAAGGAGGGGCAAGTTCAGAACAAAGGTTGCCTGTCACCCTCACTGGGAAAAACCAAGTCATTTTTTCTGAGAATTCAACATCAATTGCTTTAGAATTCTGCATGTATGTTCAAACTCGTTTGGGACCTCTGCCCTCAGCCTCTCTGGGCTGGCAGTGATTTAGATGGGTGCGTGCGGGTAAACCACTGTCATCTGTACGGGTCACAGGATCACATGGAAATCTAAATTGTTAACACTTCCTACAGAACAAAATACAACTGCTTTTTCTAATGGATCTTCTAGCGGCTCTTCCCCTTGCTGATGTGAGTAATTGAGAACTGCCTGACTCTGCACCCAGGTCAGCACATGCCCCCACGCATGCCCCCACCCTTGACTCAGCAGCACCCCCTGACAAGGCCAAGCCATCAGAAAACTCTGTTCTTCCAGTGTCCCATGACCCCTGCTCCATGCCAAGCCCCTCTTTTTTTGGGAAAGGCCAGGAGTCTCTCCCAGCTGAGGACAATAACTTCCTCTTTAGTGTCTCCAGGGAGCCCCAGGTGGTGCAAATGGCTGACAGGCTTGGCTACTAAACGAAAAGATGGAGATTTGGGTCCACCCAGAGGCACCTCTGAAGAAAGGCCTGAAGATCTACTGCCAAAAAATCAGTCACTGAAAACCCTATGGAGCACAGTTCTACTCTGATACACATGAGGGTGCCATGAATCAGAGCTGACTCCATGGTGAGGTTGTTTTTTTTTTTTTTTTTTTTAGTGTTTTCAGTCTCTGAGTAAATCCAGCCTTCTCTGCTGGGAGGACGTGCACCCTCTTCCTCATCCTCCTGCACTGCCTGTCCTACTTCCCCTCACGCTCTCTACAACACCAAGGAGGGTCTGGGCTCCTCTATATAAGCTTCCTTCCAATTCATCGTTAATTTTTTAGATGTGATACTGGACTTTGGTTATTTTTTTAAAATCCTATCTTTTAGAGATACCTCCTGAAATCTTTATGAATAGAATGAATATGATGTCTGTAATTTGCTTCAAAACGGTATGGGCCAGGGAAGAGGACGGCAGCATGGAGACAGGATTTGTTGTGAGTTGGTAATTGCTGGCCACTGGGAAGTACGCAGAGGCTCTGAGACTCTTCCCTCTACTTATGTTGGAAATGGTCCGTAACAACAAAGTTTTTAAATCCCATTCCAGGGGTTTTTCAGCATCCCTGAATCCAGCTGTTCTACCTGAGGCTTTTACTTGCACCTCTTTCAACAACACATGTTTACTGAGCAGCAACTACGTGTGAGGTGCTCCTGAGGCCACAAAGTCAGTGAGATCTGGGCCCGCCCACAGAGTTCTCGGGATGCGGGTCTGTCCTCAACCTGCAGAGTCCTGTGCTCTCCTCTACCAGAATCCTCAAACTCATTTCTCAAACTGGGCACTGGTTCCTCTCTCTCCAAAAGCCAGAGTAGGCAGTCAGGGGCTCCCCTCCCTCAGCCTCATGGGATGGAACAAGCCCAGCTTTCTGTCAACACTGAGGGAAATCTTAACTCCCTTGCTCCTCCCCCAGTCTTACTGGGTGAACATCTCAGGAGTGAGTCAGGGCAGAGAAGAGTTTGAGGGAAAAAGGCTGACCCATCTGCATTTTGGAGGGTTTGGGTGAGGTCAACCTCTCCATCTCGAAAACCTGAGGACAAAGGACCAAGAACCAGGGCACATCCTGCCTCCCTCCTGGACCAGGAGTGTGGAGGGAAGTGTTGGACACTACTCAGGGCTCCAAGCCTGGACACTGAACATTGCCTAAATCTGAAGAGTACACAGGTAGGATGGCAACTTAGTAAAATCTGACTTACCCTCCAAACTGTGCATAGACATATTCACTTATCCAAAAGGCTGGGTGTCATTCTCTTGAAAGCCTGAATTCATAGCCAAAGTGAGGAGGGAATACCCACCTTGAACTGCTGGCCCATCGACAGGCAATGGTTGCCTTCCCGTGTACCATCAAATGTTCATTCTGGGGCCACCACGGACACAGAGCCAATCCCTTCGGTCAGCAACACTCATCATCGCTATCACTTTCAATGACCAACAATTCATACCCATATTCCCACTCTCTCAGTTCAGGTGAGGACCGTGAAGAGTGTTGAGTGAAGTAGCATTCCCAATACGAACACAAAACCTCTTTTAAAACAGAGAAGGAGCTGCACCTGACCTAGAACACAGGGCCAAGAACTGGAAGAGGAATGCACCTGATGAACAGGAGGGCCCTACGTCCTCCCCTCGGTCTCTCTGGATCCAGCACATTAAATAAATACACGGGAGTAAAACTGCGTAACAGTTAAGCCCCTGTTCCATGGAAAATACGTGGAATCAGAAACGAGGGTAGGGGAGGCAAGCCAGCAGCGGCAAGCAGCCCAGGGTGTTTGAAAGAGTTTGAAAAGACCCAGGTTTCTCAAAGTGAGATCAGAGGGCTGGAAGGAGCCCTGCATGGAATGCATATTTAAAATGTGGATTCCTGATGCCATCCTACCATCGAACCAAAATCTCAGTGGTCTCCTTTAAGAATTTGCAAATCTAACACACCCACCCCTCCTCCCCCACCAGGGGACCTCATGTCTACCAAAGTTGGAGAAAAGTTATTCCAATTCCTTTTCTATTGTTACTTAATCCATGCCAGTCAATAGTTTACGAACTTAATGAGCTCACAAGAGACCTAATTACCCTTCCAACCGGCAAGGAGGATGAAGCTTTCCTCCTTGGGACTGAGGGGTCTGGGGATTAGTAATCTGAGCACAGTATGTTTTCCCTTTGTCCTGAGAAAAGCACACCTCTGTTCCCACCCAGCTTCTTAGGGAGTAAGGACGGAGGCGGTGGCTGCAGAGGACCCTACCCTGGATCAGGACTTGCAGGCGTTCTCCAAGCACTAAGGAATACGCAAGAGACATCGCACTCAGGAAGCCATGGGGACATCTTAAAATGGGAGAAAGGATTGTTAGGTGGACCAAAGAGAGACCGCCATTTCTCTAGGCCACATGCATACCAAAGCACAAAGGATTTCCAAGAGCTGTTTACAGAGCAGAACAATTCCACGCTCACTGGAGATTTGTTTCCACCCTCGGGGACCATGGCCAACAGGGACAGGAGGAAAGCCTTGAGGCCTACCTTTTAGATGATTTTCATTCTGGAGCAATAGGCTGGCAGGCTGCCCGGATGTTCTTTAGGGTTGGACCCTAGGGCCACCAGCCTCCCTGCTCCCCTCCCTCCTTGCGCAACAGCAGGTCTTAGTTGCACTGAAAGCAGAAGCTGGGCTGCCTGGGGTGATTCCCAGCCCTGGGCTATGATATCAGAATAGGGCTGTGACATCAATGTGGGGCCAGGCTTGGGGAGCAAGGCAAAGAGCCTGAGTGGCTGGATTAGCCCCCCAAGAAGTGAAGGCGGAGGGGCAGAGGCAGGCGGCTGGCTGGAGCAGTACGGCCGGGGCTACTATATTCTGGCCTGGCCATGGCAGCAGCACCCCTGAAAGTGTGCATCCTGGGTTCGGGGAACTGGGGTTCAGCTGTTGCAAAAATAATTGGTAATAATGTCAAAAAACTTCAGAAGTTTGCCTCCACAGTCAAGATGTGGGTCTTTGAAGAAACAGTTAATGGGAGAAAACTGACAGACATCATAAACAATGACCATGAAAATGTAAAATATCTCCCTGGACACAAGCTGCCAGAAAATGTGGTTGCAGTTTCAAATCTCAACGAGACCGTGCAGGATGCAGACCTGTTAGTGTTTGTCATTCCTCACCAGTTCATTCACAGAATCTGTGATGAGATCACCGGAAGGGTGCCCAAGAAAGCGCTGGGAATCACTCTCATCAAGGGGATAGACGAGGGTCCTGAGGGGCTGAAACTCATTTCTGACATCATTCGAGAGAAGGTGGGCATTGACATCAGTGTGCTCATGGGAGCCAACACTGCCAACGAGGTGGCTGCAGAGAAGTTCTGTGAGACCACCATTGGCAGCAAAGAAATGAAGAATGGCCTTCTCTTCAAAGAACTTCTACAGACTCCAAATTTTCGGATTACAGTGGTTGATGATGCAGGTACTGTTGAACTCTGTGGTGCTCTTAAGAACATTGTAGCCGTGGGAGCCGGGTTCTGCGATGGCCTGCACTGCGGAGACAACACCAAAGCTGCAGTCATTCGCCTGGGACTCATGGAGATGATTTCATTTGCCAGGATCTTCTGCAAGGGCCAGGTGTCCACAGCCACCTTCCTAGAGAGCTGTGGGGTGGGTGACCTGATTACCACCTGCTACGGAGGCCGGAACCGCAAGGTGGCTGAGGCGTTTGCCAGGACTGGAAAGACCATTGAAGAATTGGAGAAAGAGATGCTGGATGGGCAGAAACTCCAGGGACCTCAGACTTCTGCTGAAGTGTATCACATCCTCAAGAAGAAGGGACTAACTGACAAGTTTCCATTGTTTACTGCAGTATATCAGATTTGCTATGAAGGGAAACCTGTTCAAGATATGTTGTCTTGTCTCCAGTGCCATCCAGTGCACATATAAAGTGAATCATGCAATGTGCTGGGTAAAGCTCTGCCTTTCCAATCAGTCTTTTGGGCTCAGATGGAAACTAAAACTTGGCAAGAAGATGTTTGCTTGACTGTAATCCCACCATAGATGTGTATGAATTTTTACAGGTTCATTTTTGAATTGTGAAAGGCAGTTCATTGGCTAAGATGTACTGTGCAGCAACTAAATACACATATGTAAACGTGTGAGGGTGTGCTCATGTCTCATTCTGCAGTGTTTCTATGAATCAAATTAAAGATCCTTTTTGAAAATTAAAAAAAAAAAAAAAAAAAAGTGGAGGTGGAGAGAGAGAGGTGGCCAACTCTAGATCCACTTCCTGCTCCTCCCAGAGCCCCCTGGGGAGAGGACCTGGAGACCTGAAACTGACTTACAAGTACTGAGAGGTTATGTTCCAAGCCAGGCAACCTGCTAGAGCTTCCTTAGACTTCAATTTACAAGCAAAGAAAGTGAACTAACCACCTCCAGCATCCCCCCGTGTCAAGTGAAAGGATACTATTTTCTGACGGGGGGGGGGGTTCACCTTTGAACCCCATGCAGGGAGTCAGGAGCAGAGCCCCATGTGGGCTGGGTATACAGGTTTCCAGGGATAGGGTTACTAGATCAAATACAGGACACCTAGCTTCATTTGAATTTCAGATACACAATAAATTTTCATAATGTCCCAAATATTGTATGGACTAAAAAATTAGTCACTGTTTATCTGAAATTCAAATTTAACTGAGTAAACAGTATTTTTATTTGTTAAATCTGGCAACCCTACCCAGGAGCTCTTTAAAAACTGCAGATGTCTCCCAATGTCCCCCTTGGAGTGGGGGACGTGGAAGCCTTATTATTTTAAAACTACTGAGGTGACTATTATTAATAACTGCAACTAACTTTTATCAAGCGTTTGCTAAGCTGTGTGCTAAGTTGGTTTTATGCATTATCTAGATTAATCCTTACAGCACCTCTAAGAGACAGTATTATTATTGATGTCCATTTTGCACAGGAGGATAATAAGGCAAAGATGGCAAGCAACCTGCCCAAGGTCACACTGCGGGTAAGAAAGTGAGCCATGATTTGGGGCCAGGTACACTGGTTCTGGCATCCACTTGTGTTGCTGCTATTGTTAGCTGCTGTCAAGTCGGCTCTGACTTAAGGAGATTCCATGTATAACAGAACAAAACATTGCCTGGTCCTGTGCCATCTTGATGATCATTGGTATGTTTGAGTCCATTGTTGCAGTCACTGTGTCAATCCATCTCACTGAAGTTTTCCGTCCCCTCTGCTGGCCTTCCACTTTACCAAACATGATGTCCTTCTCCAGCAATCAGTCCTTCCTGATGATGTGTTCAAAGTAAGCATGTTGAAGTCTCAGACAATATTCTGTGATCCATAGGGTTTTCACTGGCTAATTTTCAGAATTAGAATGCCAGGTCTTTCTTCCTAGTCTGTCTTAGTCTGGAAGATCTGCTGAAACCTGTCCACCATGGGTGACCCGGCTGGTATTTGAAATACTGGAGGCCTAGGTTCCAGCGTCATCAGCAATACTCAAGCCAGCACAGAATGATAAACTGACAGACAGGCAGTGGATCTACTTCTAAAGACTCAGTAATCTTTGAACTGGAATGATCCTGGGAGAGCCCCGGATTGAAGCCCCCTGACAGATGGGGAATCCGAGGGTCCGGGAAGTCCTTACATTAGTTTGCTGTGGCCATCGCAACAAGGTATCACACACTGATTGCTTAAAACAACACAGATATTTTCTCACAGTTCTGGAGGCTAGAATCCAAAATCAAGGTGTCAGCAGGAGTGACTTCTTCTGGAGGCTCTGAGGGAGAATATGCTCTGTGCCTCTCTCCTAGCTCCCTGTGGATGCTGGCAACCCTTGGCATTCCCTGTATCACGTTAATCTCTGCCTGTCTGCACACGGCGTTCTCCACTCTGTGTGTCTCTGTATCTCTATGTTTCTCTGGGTCCTTTCCTCTTCTGATAAGGACACCAGTCATCAGGTTTAGGGTCCACCCTAATCCAGAATGACCTCATCTAATCAACTAATTATATCTGCAAAGACTCTTATTTCCAAATAAGGTCATACTCTGAGATTCCAGGTGGACATGAATTTGGGGGGATACTACCAACCCACCACACCCATGTTCACACTCACCACCATGCCACCTGGCATGGGGGGCTGAGCCAGGCAGCCAAGAGGACACATCGGATGCAGGCAAAGCTGGCTCTGGGACACTTTCCAGGAGTGGCCTCCCCTGAAGGGCAAGTCAGGGGGAAGAGGGTGGGGAAGGGGGTGAGTGTAAAGAAGAGAGTTTGCAGGTCAGGGGCACAGTGTGCACCCTGGCCTGGCAGCAAGATGGCATGCCAGTGAGGAGAGCAGGAGCTGGACCAGTCCAGAGGGCAGTGGGGAGCCAGAGAAGCCACTTTATTTTATTTTGAAATTAACATACAGTAAACTTTTTTGGTGTACCGTTCTATGAATTTTAATATGTGTATAGATTCATGACAGACACCACAATCAGGCTACAGAGCAGTCCCATCATCCCCAAAAAACCCCCTTGTGCTATAACTTTGTATTATACCCTCCTCCCACTCCTCACCCCTGGCAACCACTGATCCGTTCTTCATCCCTATAGTTTCACTTTTTCCAGAATGTCATATAAATGGAATTGTATAGCATGTAATTTTTAGACACTGGCTTCTTTCATTCAGCACAATGCCTTTCAGATTCAACCAAGCTGTTACATGTGTCAATTTGTTTATCTCTATTGCTGAGTAGCATGGATGTACCACAGTCTTTATCCATTCATCTCCTGAAGGGCATCTGGGTTATTTTCAAATTTGGGTGATTATGAATAGAACTGCTGTATGTGTATAGGATGTTTCTGTGAACACAAGTTTTCATTTCTCTAGGGTTCAACACCTAGGAGTGAGCGTGCTGCTTATAAAGGTAAGAGTATGTTATAAGAAACTGTAAAACTGTTCTCCATAATGAATGTACCATTTTGCATTCCTACCAGCAATGTATGCAGGTTCTAGTTGTACACAGTGTGATATTTAGGTTGAGGTTTATTTATTTTTGTGTGTAAAAAAACTCATTGCCATCGAGTTGTTTCCAACTCACGGTGACCCTATAGGACAGACTATAGGGCTGGTGGATTTGAACTGCTGACCTTTTGGTTAGCAGCTGTGGTCGTTAGGGTTGTGTGTCAACTTTGCTGGGCTATGATTCTCAGTGGTTTGGCAGTTAAGATGTAGTCTGGCAGTTGTATGATGATGTGACCTTTTCCATGATGAGATATGATATAATGTGATCACCTCCATGATGAGATATGCTGTGTATAGCCAATCAGTTGAAAGGGAGTTTCTTGGGCGTGTGGCCTGCATCAAATATAAGTGGAAATTCTGGCAGAGCTCGAGGGCTTTTGTTCACTCTGGATCCTACAGCTGGCCCCTGTTCGGCTGTCCTCCAGTTCTTGAGACTTGAGCTAGCAGCTTACTTGAGATCTTGCCAGCAGATCTTGGGATTCGTCAGTCTTTGCAGCCTGTGACAAAGTGCCCTGCTCTCTGACCTGCTGATCTTTGGTTCACCAGCCCCTGTAGCTACAGGAATCATGAGAAGCCTCCAGCCTGACCCATGGATTTGGGACATTACAGCCTCGATAACCATATGAGCCATTTCCTTTATATAAATCTCTCTATATAGATACTTTTACATTTTTCTGGTTTTGCTTCTCTACGAAACCCAGACTAAGACATTCGATACCAAGGGTGGTTCTAGAGAAACAAAAATTGTAAGGATGAGTTTTCTAAATTGGTTCTCAAGTCTGGTTAGCCTTAAAGATGTTGATGACTCTGCTTCCGGCAGTAAAGAGGGCATTGCTAATCCATGGAGTGAAGTGGCAATAGAAATACACAAAATATCACCACCAACAGATCAGGTATTGGTGAAAGATGAGGCTCTGGGTGATTGTATGTTTGATACCTTTCTACAATTTTGTCTTAATGAGAACTATGAGGAAGCTGGTCGGTTGGTCCTAATTTTGCTAAACAAAGTGGTAAAATAAAAAAATTGAGCTGAGGGCTTCAGAGCTCAAGCATCGCATAACTGACCACAAAGTTTCCAATTGTGCCTTGAATGAAAGCCTTATTTCTTGTAGAAACAGAGCTGAAACTGCCAAAAACCAAACCCAGAGTCTTATAAGAGTGGCCAAATTACAATACCAACTCAATTCCCAACCTTGAGTAGTATCTGAAGTTAAAGTGAGGGCAGTGATTGGGAAGAAATGGGACTCTGAAACTTGGGATATGTATGTATGGGCAGATGTCCGGAGGCTGGAGACACTGAGCCTCTAAATTCCACTGAATCCCTCCTGCCAATAGAACCCTCTCACTTCCACCTGAAGAGATTACTCCATCTTTGTCTGCTAAGCCATCCTCCCGAGCAAAACCATTAGCCCCTCCACCCCCATCTAATGAGATTATCCCAGCTGTGTCTAAAGAGCCTTGGTTTGAGTCATTGAGGCAAATGCCTTACAAGACAATGCTGAATGTTCTAAAACACATCCCAAACAACGATTTTGGCTTCTAGACTTGTAAAGTCCCAGCAAACCCAAAAGGTGAAGTACAAAGTGTAACCCAGGAGGAGGTATGCTACACTCCAAAAGAACTGCTTGACTTTTCTAATATGTACAAACAAAAACTGGGAAATTTGTGTGGGAATGGCTATTAAGGGTGTGGGATAATGGTGCAAGGAACATAAAGATAGATCAGTCTGAGTTTATTGACATGGGCCCACGAAGCATAGATTCTTCATTCAAGGTTTCAGTTCCAGAAGTTAGGAAAGGATCTAATAGGTTTATTTGGTTGGGTCGCTGAAGGTGACCTACACTAAATCAAGTTGAAGTACCAGACCTGCCTTGGTATACTGCAGAAGGTATTCAAAGCCTTAGGGAAACTGGCATACTGGAGTTGATTTATCAGGTTAGACCCACAGACCCACACGTGAGAGTATCCAGAGGACACAACTTTTACCACAACAGTCAGGAAAAAATTTGTGAAGGGAGACCCAGCATCCTTGAAGACTGCTGTGATTGCTATTTTATGTAAATCAGATTTGACAGTGGGAATTGCCCTAACTGATTTAAGACACCTAACTACAATGGGGCTGACTGGACCCTGTGGAAGTAGGGGCCAAGTGGCAGCACTCAATTGACAAAGACAAGCTGGGTGTGGT